GAACTGGTAAGAAGGGAATCCATGCAATCTGCCATCATAGCACCAAAAGTCAGGTGTTCAAAAACTCCTGCAGGAGCGGAGACATGCTGCTGTTCCCTTTGTGCACTCGCTTCTGCCAGAGACCCAGCTTCTCAATGAACGCAGTCACTTTGACTGACGCCCTTGCATGCTAATATTAAGTTGATTCAGGTGATGAAAGATATCAGCAAGATAAGCAAGCTGAGCAAGCCAGGTCTCTGAGAATTTACCTGATCTGTGCCTTTGCTCTTCCAAAAATACCATCAGAGACTCATGAAGCTCAAAAACGGGATTCAACCCCTTTCTCTTGGAAAGCCATCTGACCTCAGTGTGCAGGAGAAGGTTGTGATGCAATTCACCCATTTCTGCACACATTGCCCCCAAAATATGTGCATTTGCTTGATGTGTGCTTTGATAAAGTTAAAAACTTTTATTGTCTTATCAAGTACATCTTTCAGGTCATCTGGCATCTTTCTCATGCCCAGGATCTCCCTGTGACCCATGCAGTGCATTACTTTTGCCAGTGGTACAACATCTGTCATTTTTTTTGCACCCCATTATGCCTCCCCATCATTACAGAAGCACCCTCTGTGCTCACACACTGCCCCCAGTCCTGGTTGTTGCTCAGCCTGAAATTATCCAGACACTTAAAAATCCCATCACTTGTTGTTTTTGTCGGCAGTGATCTGGAAAACAGCAGTTCTCCTTCTATTTTCCCATCACAGATGTATCGCACATAAACCAACAGCTGAACCTCACCTGACACATCCCACTTGCTCGAATCCTGGTCTTTCACGTCAGCTGCAACCTCTGTAATTCACCTTTTAAGGGGGTCGTTTGATACTGGCACATTCTTCAGTTTATTAGCAGCTTCGTCCCCACACTTCAATTGCAGCTGGCATCAGTAATTTCAATTGTATGTGGCTTTCTGTTTTTAGCGATTCTAATTGTCACTGTGTAGGATGCTTTGAGAGCCTTCTCTTGCAAGATTCACACAGTTTGTACAGTTTTTTTTTTTTGTGTTATAAGCAATTCTGCTTCCTTTCAAAATACTCCACCGGCTTGTCAACGCTTTCCACATGCACGACCTCAGATGTCTTTTAATTTTTTCGGCTTAAGTGCTTCCTTAGAAAGTACTTCTCCACAAATTACACCCTGGGGTCTGGATTCTCCACCCACACATATTCTCCACCCACACATACACACATAAAGCCAAGTTCAATGTAGCTGTCGTCATATCCCCTCAGGTTTTGGTTTTTTGAAGTGGGTTCGATTTTGCTTCTTTCTTTCTCTTCTCCCGGCTTTGAGATGGTTTCTGCTTGGTGAACGGCTGAAGCTGACCGAGTGGGTTTACAAATAACAAACGCATCCATTACAGAAATTGAATGGAATAATTATATTTCACACTTGCAGCTGAACGGATCACTAGCAGAGGCGCCATGAATGGGGGGCACAATTTAAAGGCTGTGGGGGGCATGTGACCCTCACATGTCGCCTCTTGATCTAACAGAGGTTTTCAAACTGTGGGGCACGCCCCCCTCGGGGGGTCACGGAGGAATGTTCGGAAGGGAGGCGAGTGGCAATGCCAGTTTGAACTTTTTGGGTAAAGCCCCCCCAGACCAGCTGAGCTGAGTCGGGGGTGGAGGTGGGGCTGCCTCCCCAAGCCCCACCGCACTGGGCTGGCCCCCAGAACATTCCCCTGCCCCCCCTAGGGGGACACGTCCCACAGTTGAAAAGCCTCTGTGCTAAATGGAAGGCAGAAATCTGAGGGGGGGAGAACACGTGACCCTGTGTGCCCCCAGGTGTCACCTCTGGTTGCTGGCACGTTCACAGACACCCCCCACTCCGGATTATACTGGTGGACCCCTAAGGGTCTGTGGCAGAGACGCCAACTCCATGGGTGCTCCGGGGCTGGAGAACCCACAGAAAAAAAATAGTGGGTGGTCAACACCCACCAGCCACCTGCCAATCAGCTGTTTGGCACCCCCTCCCCCCCAGCAGCCCCTGCCCGCCATCACAGTGGTACAGCAGGGGAAGGGACTCCCAAGGCCAGGCCAGCAGGGCAGGGGCATAGCTGGCACTAGCCCCTAGGCGCTCCGGCTCCCAGACCCTCTGCTCTAAGCGATTAGCCCCCAAGCCAGGGACAGAACCCAGGAGTCCCGACTCCCGCATCCCAGGGCAGCTCAGCCCCCAGCCTTATCTCTTCTCCAAGGCCACAGAACTGCACACTCACCCCATTCCCAGCCTGTCTCCACCCAGCCCAGCAAATCAGCTGCCAGCCTGCCAGGGCTGTATCGCCTGCCTTCCGCAGCAGCACCCGCTGCACTGTCCTGAGCTGCCCAGTGCCCCAGGACCTGGCATGCCCACCATGCTCCTCACGAGGTGAGTAGGGGCCTCCCTGGGCTGTCCCAGCAATGGCCTGGTGGGTGCAAGGCTGGGGCAGGAAATCATGGCTGGCAGTAAAGCTGGGGGGACTGGAGATGGAGAGTTGGGTGTCTGTAAGCAGCCGGCCCCCCCCATCTCTGGCCGGCTGTGGTTGGTGGGGGCAGTATCTGTAAGGATGCTGGGCCCCCAGTCTCTGGGCTGTGGAGGGGCAGTATCTGTAAGGACGCTGGGCCCCCCGTCTCTGGGCTGTGGGGGGGCAGTATCTGTAAAGACGCTGGGCCCCCCGTCTCTGGGCTGTGGGGGGCAGTATCTGTAAGGACACTGGGCCCCCCCCATCTCTGGGCTGTGGGGAACAGTATCTGTAAGTACACTGGTCCCCCCGTCTCTGGGCTGTGGTTGGGGGGGCGGCAGACAGATATCTGTCAGCAGGCTGGCCAATATCTCTGGTGTAGGGGTGTTGGGGTCCCCGCCGTGCTAAGGGCATGTGGCTGGTGTTTGGTTCTCAGTGTGTGGGGGGGGTCTCTGGGCTCCAAGGCTGTGCTGGGGCAGCGCTGCTGTCAAGTCAGCCCCTATCTCAGCTCTACCAGCAACCCAGGGATTCCCAGCGCTGGCAGCCCTGCCTGGGTGCGGAAGGAGTGGAGCCGGAGGGAGGTGCCACCCCCCCGCACAGTTGGGTGAGGGGAGAATGTCTGGCTCATCACAGTGTCAGAGTCCCTGCACTGCTGGTGGCAAGTCTCCTGCAGCCCAGGTCACAGGGTCCATTGGGAGCAAGGGGGCAAGGGGGTGGGCCTCTGAGCCCCTGTGGCAGGAACTAGTCTGTGTAGCGCCTGGCACTGTGGAGTTGAGGGGGCGGGGAGAGATAGGGCTGTGATTGGGCAGGGCCTGGGGGCAGGGCAGCAATGCATGGCCGAGGGGGGTGGTGGTAGGGCTGGGATTGGTCAGGGCCTGGTGGCGGGGCAGGGCTGGGATTGGTCGAGGCCTGGGGTGGGGCAGCAGTGCATGGCTGGGAGGGGGCTGGGGGAGTGGGGCTGGGATTGGTCAAGGCCTGGGGTGGGGCAGCAGTGCATCGCTGAGGGGGCAGGGTAGGGCTGGGATTGGTCAGGGCCTGGTGGCGGGGCAGGGCTGGGATTGGTCAGGGTGAGATTGGTGCATGGTGCATGGCAGGACTGGGTTCTGATCTCAGTGGGGGTCTGACCTACTATCCTGCAGCCCAAGAGACAGGGCACAGAGCAAGCTCACCTAACTGCCTCTCCTGGGGCATGGTCATTTGTCCATCTGGACCACGGGTGTCCAGCCTGGCATCCCCCAGCCCCAAACCTGTGCCCAGTGCATTGGGGCCCAAACCACCCCTAGGTTACAAACACACAGGCCCCAGTCTGTGTTGGGTGCTGCCCCACCCCCATCCCCATCCCCTGGCCAGCTGGAATAGTCCTTCCCAGAGAGCATTGATCCCTCTGGTATGGGAGCAGGGGGGAACTGAGGCACAGGCTAAGGGACTTGGTCATGGTCACATGGGGCACCTATGTCAGTTGGGTTTGACCCCATGCCCTAGGCTGGTGCATGACCCATCCCCTCCAGTCTCTAGTGGGAAGCCCTTGCCCTGTGTGAGCATCTGGGGGAGGGGGTGGGGGGCAAAATCCATCTGTGACCAAACAGCCTCTGTGGGGAAGGATCTGTGTGCATGGAGGGATGCCTGCCATATGGGGGAGGCTGCCTTCTGCCCCAGCCTCCCAGGCCCCCTGCGCTAACCCACTAGACCCCCTCCCTGCGCGGAACTGGGGCTAGCACCTAGGAGGGACCCAGAGGAGGGCAGCCCCTGTATTGTGTGACCTGCCCCATTCCTCTTTGCAGGCTGGGCCTGCTCTGGGTGGTGGTGCCCTGGCACGCGGGCTCCGTGTCCTTTCCCGATGGTGAGTCTCCTGTGGGGTAGGGATGGTGCCTGCTGGGCTGGGGGGGGAATCCTGGGGTTCGGGGGGCTTAGAATGACTAAGCCCTGTTTGGGGTGCTGGGACAGAGACTCTGATGACTATCCCAGGGCCCGCGGGGCCCCTGAGGTCAGCTGTGACTGGGGGCGGGATAGAGTTCAGGGTGGGTGGTACAACACAGGTGGGGCTGGTGGTGGAGGCGGGAGGCTGGGACTAGCAGGATGGGGTGGCCCCTGGTGTGAGCACAGCTGGCCTGTGACCTGGAGCAGTAGCCCCGAGAGGGGAGCCGGGGGCCCCCACCCACCACACTGAGGGGAGTAGGCCTCCGGCGCTCTGGAGTCCCCTTAGGGTGACCAGCTGTCCCGATTTTATAGGGACAGTCCTGATTGTTGGAGTTTTTTCTTACATAGGCTCCTATTACCCCCCCAACCCTGTCCTGATTTTTCACGCTTGCTGTCTGGTCACCCTAAGTCCCCTGGCCAGGCATGGTGCTGAGGGGGGTTGGATGCTGCCCCCAGTAACTCTGCCAATCCCTCCAGGAGCTGCTCGCACTGAGTGCCGGGACCGTTATTTCTGGATCTGGCTGGACAAGGCGTTCGTGGGGCAGAGCCGCTGGCGCTATGGGGTCTACAGTGAGTGGGGAGGGCTCATGGGGGGCTTCCTGGCTGTTTGGAGCAGAGGCTGGGGCAAGATGCAGGCCCGTGGGTGGGGGTGGCCTGGGATGGTGCATTGGGAGAGGAGTCGTGTGACGGGAGGCTGGCGGGGGGGCGGGTGGTGCCTGGGCACCAGGTGTCGGGGGGGCAGGTACTGGTTGGGGTCCCAGATGCTGTCTCCCCCCAGCCGAGTCGGGGCAGTACATCGAGGTGACACAGCAGCTGGCTTCGCAGTGCGGATTCATGGCAGGCACTGACCTCCGTGGGAACCCCCAGATCCGCGTCTCCTTCCTGGCTTGTTCCGTCCGCAACACGGTGAGTGCCCCCAGTGCCCAGGCCTGCCCTCCAGGAGCTGGGGGGCCCATATCTGACTCCCAGCCCCCCCACCCCGTAACTCACTAGACCCTGCTCCCCTGCCAGCACTGGGGAGGAACCTAGGAGTGCTGCCGGAGCTGGGCAGCCAGTTCTGCTCCCCCTGGTACTTGAGGTCTGGGTGCCAGTGCTGTGCCCCCCCCCCACACATCTCCGGTGCTGGAGCAGCCCTGAGGCTGGGCAGGGTCTAACTGTAGTCTCTCTTTCCTGGGGGACCCCAGTTTGACCAGGATTTCAGCCTGCAGCTGCGGGTGGAGGTGACAGGCGCTGTGGGGCCCAGCGTCCCCTATGACATGACCATCAGCTGCCCCCTGGGAGCCCCCTGGAGCCCCCGGGAGATTGTCTGCGAGGAGAACTACATGGAGGTGAGGGGGGCCATGGTGGAGGATGAGGTGGTGGGGAAGGACTTGTCTCCTGGTCGGGGTCCCTAGGACAGACCCCAGAGCCGCTGGGCGGGGTGATGCTGGGTGGGGGGGTCTCCCCGCAGGCCCCTGTGTGAAATGATGCCGCCAGAGGGTCTCCTAGCAGGGTTTCTTTCCCCAGCCTGAGCTGGCCCTGTCCTGTTGCAGGTGTCGGTCCGGCGGGCTGTGCCCGGCATCGCCAAGGAAGTGCTGAATGAGGACTGGATCGCTGCCTGGCCGGTGGTGAGTGGGCTTGGTGCAGCTGTGGCATCATGGTCCCTCTACCAGCAACAAACGGTGCCCGGAGCTTGGCATGGGTGCCCAGGGAGCAGCGTTGTCTCTGGCACACTCTGCCCACAGAGCAGCAGCGAGCCAGGGCACTTGGCTGTCCTGCTGCCCCATGGCCATGGACTGGGCCAGGTATTGGCCCATCAGCTGCCCAGCAGGCGCGGACTCCCCAGGGCACGGCGGAAGCTAAGTGCCCAATGGGTCCGGCTGGATTGCCCCTGCCACATGTAACCCAGTGCCATGGGTATGGTGAGCTGGGCTGGTCCCCACAGGGGCTGAAGCCCTTAAGCCGACTGCAGAGCTATGATCTGTGGAGGGGGGTAACCTGACAGTGTCGGGACCCCTGCTCCCTCCCCGGCATATGGGGGGACTCAGCCTTATGTCTCTCCCCTTCGCAGGCCCAGGGGGCGCTGAACCAGGTGTGGCAGGTTGTCTTCCACTTCCAGAACGGCTCCCTGCTCAGCATGCCCGCCACGGAGGCCCACAGCCTGGGCTACGGGGTCAACACCACGGCCACCCGCGTCCTCTTCCGCGCACCCTACGGCACAGCCCAGAGCGAGATCGCCTCAGTGAGGGAGCCTGGGGAGAGAGGGGGGAGGGCAGGGCACGGTGGCCACAGTGAGGTGTGGCTGGGGGGGGCCTTGGGTGCATCAGGGGGCCCAGTGGGGGTGCGTGGGAGCTTGGTGCACAGTGGGGGGGAGGCTGGGGGGCGCTGGGGGCCCAGTGGGGTGCGTGGGAGCTAGATGCACAGTGTGGGGGGGAGGCTGGAGGGCACTGTGGGCCCAGTGGGGTGCGTGGGAGCTAGGTGCACAGTGGGGGGGAGCTGGGGGGCATTCTGGGCCCAGTGGGGTGTGTGGGAGCTTGGTGCACAGTGGGGGGAGGCTGAGGGGCACTGTGGGCCCAGTGGGGTGCGTGGGAGCTAGGTGCACAGTGGGGGGGGCTGGTGGGCAC